ACTAATCTTAACGAAATTTATCAGGCTGTGCACGAATAGCTTATTTCCGTACAGCCAAGCTATCCAATTTCGAATAAAAATTTGCCTAGCTTTGCCTTGTAAACCACTACCTTCCCCGAAAATGGAGGACTCTGGGGAATTTAGTAAAATATAATATTTATATTTAATAGAACATATGTTTTGTAGTAAGAGCCGTAAAAAACTCATTTCAACCCTGCATATTATTACACATTGTAAGCGGCTTCCAACTAAGGTGGCTCATAGTCATTTGAAATACTTTCCACGATAAAATTTCGTCCTAATATACAGGGTGTCCCGTAACTCTCTGGACATATTTATATAGCGTTATCCCTTAGGTCAAGACAAACACATTTCACCATAGGAACGGGTCTGTGGGGTCTAGTTTACTGACTGTCGGTATTTATGTGTTTTTTTTTTCAAAAAAACTAATAACTCCTAAACGGTTTGAGATACAGCTTTGATATTTTACAAAAATGTTTATCTTATTAAGACCTTTTACCGTTAGAAATTATACTAAAAAATCCTTAACCGTTTCAAAATGGCGGCCATTTAAAATATTTGATGCCAAATTTTACGAAAACCGTTAACTTTACAAAAAAGTGCAAGAGACAATAAAGTTTGTAAATTTTTAGTTTTTAATGATACCTTATTTGTTAAGATTGGATAAATAATAACAGAGAAACTAGTTGTTTTCGTAATGTATGACCACCTTTTTCCATTTAAACAATGCTAAACAACGTAAAAGGAGTATTAGCATTGTTTAAATGGAGAAAAAAGGCCAGGCATTTGGAAAAGAAGACATTTCTCTGTTATTATTTATTCAATCTTAACAAATAAGGTATCATTGGAAACTACATAAAATTTACAAACTTTTTTGACTCCTGCTTTTTTTTTGTAAAGTTAACGGTGTTCGTGAAATTTGGCATCAAATATTTTAAATGGCCGCCATTTTAAAACGGTTAAGGATTTTTTTAGATAATTTCTAACGATAAAAGGTCTAAATAAGATAAACATTTTTGCAAAATAACAAAGCTGTATCTCAAACCGTTTAGGAGTTATTAATGTTTTTGTAAAAAAACACATAAATACCAACAGTCGATAAACTAGACTTCACAGACCCATGTTCCTATGGTGAAATGTGTTTGTCTTGACCTAAGGAATAACGCTATATACATATGTCCAGAGAGTTGCGGGACACCCTGTATAGTATTTTTATTTTAACTTACAAAATTTTAACAAAAAAATCTACAAACTTGTTTTTTATGATCGCAGGCTGTCCAGTGCTCCCAAGCAGATATGAGTGTGAAGGACTTCATATTCTGGACCAAGGCAGATATAACAGCTTGGCATGAGTATTTCCCTAGTAGGTTGTTAGAACAGGAACGTCTCACTATCCAGACTGCTAAGGAGGCTACTACGACCTTGTACAACAATATACAGACCAACCTAGCGGCTACGGTCAAGTAAGTATGAGCCTGAGATAAGCTGTTTAGGTGCATATCCCCCCAATCATTTGACAACCCTGTAGAACTCTAAGTAAATTATATTCCAACCATAAAACTAATAGTTAAGACATGATACACGCAATATTAACAAATAACTATTTTATTCTAATTTTTTATAAAATCTTACTTACTCTAATATTATTTTACCAATAAAAGGGTGTTTTAAAATTACCTAGGCGAGGAAGCAAACTGTGAATATAATAGGTAGTACACAATGTTTTAAATCCAAATACTTTATGTTTTTAAGTATATAAATACCATCGAATTTAAATTTAGAATATTCCCAATTCATATTTATACATTCACAATAAAAAATGTTTACGCTTCCTTGTATATTCTATTTTATTAGTAAATGTCATTACTTTATGTTGATAGTGGTTGAAATATACAAATGTACTGCCCATAAAAATGGCTTGCAAAACGTAATTTATATTATTGAGATGTGGGATTACTAGTCTGATTTAGTAAGCACAGCAACATCTTCGTCTTAATACGTTTTATTTCCTAATTAACTGCTCAAAGTATATATAAATAATGATTGAACAATTGCATGGAACAATGCTGAGAAAATGCTCATATATCTGTTCTCTTTAATACATGTTGATTGTTCGTTATAGATACCAGGCGCAGGAACTGAAGACAGCTGAGTTTATTATGGAGGGCACAAGCGCACAAGGATGTGTGTACGGCATCGCTAACTACATGGATAAAGCGATACAGGAAGGTGAGGTATATAGGTTAGCCCACTAATTCATAAATATAAATTAATATCTGTAGCACTACACAAACCGAATGATTTACATTACTCTAAGGAGTATTTCCTGTACTACTGAGAAGAACTAAAATTGATGAAATTATACAAATAACGGATGGAGGTAGGTAATATAATATTTCACTTTTAGTTGGCTTTTTTCTAAAACCTAAGCTGTCGATACCATACATATACCGTATATGTCAAGTTTTGTGTTGGTAGTGATGTTTAGGTGTAAGCATGGATAAAACCTAGTCCCTTAGTAGATTTACCATCCTTATGGAACAGCCGAAGCCAATTTTATTGTTATTTCTGTCCGGTTTTCTGTAGATGTGTTGTTTTGTTTGCAATTTGTTTATATTATTTTTGGGTTAATTTCTCATTATTTGTGTCTCACTATTTGGTTATATAGCTATTGAACGAGTTATTTTTGTATGATTAGATAGTTTTATTTAGTCAAACGAGGTTTTAAATTACTGAAATTAAAGGAAACAAATTGTAAAGAAAACACGACCTATACAGAAAAACGGACAGAACGAACAATAAAATTGGCTTTAGCTGTTCCATAAGGATGGGAAATCTACTAAGGGGATTATGTTTTGTATATGGTGTAAGTCACTTAGAAAATAGTGGTGACTGAAGTATGGAGGTATCTCTAAAGCCATCAATCTCTAGCAAGATCCTGACTCTAAACACTAAGCTACAAAGTATAATAATCTTAATTACTCAGGTAATCTTTGGTAAAAAATATGCATTTTACCAAGGTGTTTCCCTTTATAGCCTCAGAAACATTTCAAGACTGCGTGAATGACGTCCCGAGCAAGTTAAGTCGACTTTCTATTTCCTGGGCAAAGATATTCTCCAGTTACAACACATCATATGCAAAGGCACTGGCTGGCGTGGACACATGTGCTCGTACATATCCTAACAAGTAAGTTATATACTTTCAATACTAAAACATTGTGATTTCAGCCAGCCAAAAATTAAGTTCAATTATTTAGCAAATGATTTAGATCTGCTTTAAAAAAACTACCGTAATCTAAATGAAATATGTTTCAAGAGTCTTTAGGGCCTGAGAGTAAAATTAAGCAAAGTATTAAAAATATACACAGTGTGAACTTATACTCGTTGTTTATAACATATTATAAGCTTTCTATATTATATTGTGTTACTGTGTTCATATATTTTCTTCAATTTTTGATAGAGACATTTTCATTAGTACTTCAAAAGTTATAGCTGTATAGTGCTACAGAATTTGCTATTTTAATGTTGTGACACTTTTGTAGAAGATCTGTTTATTCTGTTTTTTTAAGCATACACTATGAATCCACCATTACTGTAGTGAATGTCTCGAAAAAGGCTTATCATTTATTTTATATTACGTTATCAGGGGTAAGTCCAAAATACACGTCATGATGACCCACCACTATTGGTGACTGTAGTTTCCTAAATGAAATGTCAACGTACTATACTAATAAAAAAAAAACTTTTATACAACAGAAGATTTAATTATTAAATTAGATGCACATATATTCATCGGGTCTTATATGTTTTACTCCTACTAAACTTAAAACACCTCCAGATTAAAATAATTCGCCATTACTTTTACAGGGACTCCTGGAGTAGACTCAAATCCTGTGTAAACTCCTGGATCAACAACTACTTCAGCGCTGCCAACAGCACAGTCGCGTCACTAGGGTATACTACCTGCTCAGACGTGTACACCACCATATCCAGTAAGGCTATGGGGGTGTTTATTGACACAGTGGCTACTTGTGCCCAGGACGCGGCTCAGGAGGTCGTCATCAAAGGGAAGAGGTTCCTCAGCATGCTGGTGCAGTGTGCGAAGCTGAGTGAGAATGTAGACTCGGTTACTTATGAGGAGCAGTTGGTGAGTTGAAATGGAAGCTTAGTTAAGAAGGGGGGGGCAAAGAGACCTTTGGGTGTAGAACTTAAACTTGGAAATATAGTACCCAGTTTCCCAGTAACATGGTTGGTATGATTGTGGATAACTTGGCCAACCAATATATTTCTGGAAAAAGAAACACAGTTTGTTTCGCGTTTATATATTCCTCCAATATTTTTTTTTTTTGTAAGAAAACGTTCCTATCTCTTGTCTTATACTATCTAACGTCATACATGGAAAACTAGGAATTAAAACAATCTCGCAAGGAAATTAAAACAGCAATATTTAGATTTGAAGGCGAGCACTATAGCCTCACACCTACCCTGACAATTTATATAAGACGATGGTGGTTTTTAGATAATAATTTATGTTCAACGAATTTGAGTTTAGATCCAGATATTTTTAAATAATAAAGGTTTACTTTGGTCTTAAAAACAGTGGTCACCTTCCTCGAAACGTATTTACTTATTATTTTGATTTTAGTTACTAGAATTATTATTGGGATTTAATAGTGAAAACATTGATCTCCAGCTAAATTACTAGGTAAACAGGTTTGAGGTTTATTAAATTATATTAAATCACTTCATGGATAAACATACAGTACATTGTTTACTTATCTTGAGAAAATAATATAGACCCTCATAATAAATTTACAAACAAAAATATACGAATTAAAATCAAAATAAACTTCATAATTACGAAGTTATCAAAATAAGATTATGGCATATGGAATTTATAATTCGGTTTATCAATCGAATACTTTTCTTATTATTATAAATTAATCTTTAATAACCATATCTTCTTTCAGACCTCAGAATTCAACCAATACATAACCTCAAACGATTTGAAAAAACAAACCTGGTTAGCAATGGCCATCAACAGTCGTCTAGTGTCTACTATTGAGAAACAGATGATCTACTCATACGATCTGCAGAAGAGAGCTTTGGAAAAATACGTGATTGAGTCCAGAGGCGAAGGCTACTACTACAACAGACTGGCTGGGAATGTTTGGAAATATTCTAACACCATATCTTCTACGTCATCAGACAATCCTGCAGACGCAGACTGTGTTACCGAGGCTTATTCTGCGTTGTACAAGTCCCTTGATGTTGGTAAGTAAGACATTGTTTTTTAGGTCGACCTTCAGATTTCGTACCGATAATGCCCATATTTTAATTTATTTTGTTCATGAATATTGGATTAAAATCAAATTCAATACTAAATTTTAGGCAGGCTGTTTAGGAACCTACTTTACTTTCTAATAGGCTACACATTTCATCTCGTTCACGATACTCTTTCAGAAAAATCAGACACTTTTTTTAAGAAAACGCTTTTTCAGAAGTTAGTTTAAAAAAATGAAAAAGAAATTGAAACCGTTATATTTATCATAACTTTGTTTATTTGAGTATTATTAATGTCGATTAATGAATTTACTCATATGTCTGAAAAAACAATTTCAAATGGTTAGCGTCTCTAACTTTGGTGCGAGAGGGTTCAATTCCAGACACATCCACAAAATGTTTAAATTGACTTTTTATTATAAAAAACCACTGGCGTAGGCAAAAGAAAGAAAATAAAAATATCATAGTTAATAATAGAGGGGGTATTAAAAATAAGTATAATTTCTACTATACGTGGTAATTAACTTAATTTTTCGAGTAGATAGGTTTCAATTAACTGAATTGACGTGTTAATTAACTACAATATAAAACTTGAAGTTGGATTTAATCAGTGTTTGAACAAGTCAATAAATTTCATAGATATACATAATATGCATATGTTTATTTCCATATTTTTTCTCATAAATGATAAGCTTAGGAAGATCACTTCCAGCATCTAGTGTTACCCAGAAATATACTTAGATTGTAATTTTCGGCGAGACAGACGTAAAGTGATGGCACAAAGTCAGCGTTAAGCATTTCCTGAATGCCAATCAGTGGTAATTTCATATCCACCCTTCCGTAATACTCCTTAACTGACCCCCTGCTTACCACCACTATTATTGAAGCATTTTAAATCGCCAATTTATGTTTCAGGGGCATCCGAAGCATTAGCGTGTGACGCTGAGATCGTGAACAACACCAAATTTCTCCTCGCTCGCGCAAACAACTACTTTTCCCAAATTAACAAAATCCTCCCTTACACAGGGAATGTTGCCATCCTCACCTGCTTCAGCAAAGGTTACATCTACGCTGAACAGACGATCTACAACTGCTTCAACGTAGAGTTGAACAGCTACAAACTCAACATCACAGAGTTGAATTCAACAATAGTCAATGACATCGGGATACTGCAAGGGTACGAGGCTAGTTTTTATAGCAACTATTCTATCCCGTGTGGAGACCATATACTTGGTAGAGTGTTTGTTGAGGCTGACAAAACACTGTATGAACTACAGAGATGTCTGTATATCAACAGAGGCACTAAGTATGCTGTAACTACACTAGCACCGTACACTACGACATACGCACCGACTTCACCAACTACTCCATCTACACCATCTACTCAAACTACTACATCTACATCTACACCTTCTCCAACTTTAGGATTATCTTATACCGGATAAATAGAAGAATATCTACGGATAACCTGAATGCAAATGAAAAGTGGAGGGGAGAAATACTTAACAGTAAAACAATGATTTTCGTATATAAGTAGAAGAGTGGTTATCATCAAAACCTAGATATTAAAATACATTTCTCAGGCTTTCAAATAAACCTAAAAATATAGCTGTAGAGATTCATAATCTAAATCTGTCAAACACGTTTCTTAACTGTGAAAGTTTAGCGTATTTTAACATGCTTTTGTAATTTGACATTATATAATATAATAAAGCATTTAACTGAAATTCAATATTTATCATTTACCTTTCATTTTTATCCTATACTCTTATACGAGCTATGCATGATGGTATGTCTGTCCGCCTGTAATATTTATCTCCAATTCCATTGGAAGGAATTTGACTAAATTTTTGAATTAATTACTTATAGGCCTAAAACGATTACAGCCTTCCACCTCAGGAAAATTCATATTTCCTTACAAAAACTCGAAATAAGACATAATACATAAACTTAAAAATAAAATAAAAAATTACTTGGCCTTATGGGTTGCCTCGTAACTATGTTGGTTGAACGAAATAACAAGGAAGACGTAAACAAAAGACTTATAAATGTGTTTAAAACAAGCCATCCACAGTATAAGTTACCAGCGAATTACAATACACAGTACAAAAGGAAAAACTTCAGTTGTTACTATTGGGTAAATATTACACTGAAGATTTCTGAAGAACTCAATTTTTTAGAGGAGAAAAAAGTTCCGATAAAATAATTACTAGTTATTTTACTTGGTTCTCTTCTGCCAAAACTTAATCCCCGAAGTACTGAGGCAATTGTTTGCAAACTTTGGTTTAAGAGAAATAAATATATTTTTTGTAAATTAGAATCTAAAATAAAATTGGCAATCAGCTGTTTTAATTTAAACAAACTGACAAAACAATGTTTAGGCAAGTTTAGGCTATTATAAACAAGTGATTTTTACCATCTACTGCAAAATAAATATAATATGTTGTGGATTGCCAGGTTAAAATTTCCGTAACAATAAATATAAACCCCTTATACTTAAAAAATAAAAGCCAAAATAAATTGTAAATAATTCGTAAGTTTTTTAGCGAATTTCCTTATAGGGAAGTAGCTATTACCGTAGGTGGCACGGTAAGACCTAGACCCGGGACCGATTTACTTTTTCATTTTGATGTCCCCAGAGGCCAAAAACACCATTCGTTCAAATTTTTATATATGTTGTAACATGTTAAATTTCGCCATGACATTTGTTTGTATAAGGAGCCGATTTAGCACCAATGCAATGTCACAAAAGTAAATTTGTAAATCCCGCCAACGTTTGAGTCGGCGGCTTCCATTGCGTCGTCCCCGGCCGTTGCACCATACGCAGCTCCTCGAGACAGTCAAGGCCAGGACACGAGAGAGCAGACTTCACGTTACCTGATAGTCGAGTCAGGGAGTCACGACTGTCAACCACGCACGGGTCTCCGAGGACCAAGTACGACGACTCTGTATAAGGTAGTCATCACCTTGCTTTAAATAGACATTTGTCGTACCGTTCGTTCAAGTCTAGTACAAGATCAAGTTTCATTGAATATTCTGATAGTCAGCTTAACGTAAAACTTGCTTGCGCTAATTTTTCAGTATATTTAGCATTGATCAAGAGTTAACATCATTGCAGCTATACATTGACATTTTGCCTCTCACATAATTCGATACTTTTACATGTTATTAGTAACTGAACTCGATTGAACAATAATTACATTCAAATGAATTTACCGTATCTCTCATCCTCACACATACGAGGAAACCATTTAGCTGTTGTAGTCTTATTTACTGTGTGTTGTGTGGTTTTAAATTATTAACTGAACGATTATAATCGAAGATATCTAACGTTTTGTGTGACGAATTATCTGTAGTTTAAACACGTAAATACTGTGTGACATCAAGACGTGTGTTCTGATGGAATAATCGAGATACTAGCTTATTTGTGTGATCTGTGTAAATATCTGTGTAAACCATCCTTAACTGTGGTTCGCCCGCAGCATCCTCCGATCCTACCTGTGGTTCGCCCACAGCAATTAGCTTTAGTTAGCTTTAGTTCCCTGTGGTTCGCCCACAGCAATTAGTTATAGTTAGCGTTAATTCCTTTTCCCTGTGGTTCGCCCACAGCACTTAGCTTTAGCTAGCGATAATTCCCTGTGGTTCGCCCACAGCACTTAGCTGTAGTTAGCGATAATCCTCTGTGGTTCGCCCACGGCAATCAGCTTTAGTTAGCTTTAATCTTCTGTGGTTCGCCCACGGAAATTAGTCATAGTTAGCGATAATTCCCTGTGGTTCGCCCACAGCATTTAGCTGTATTTAGCGATATTTCCCTGTGGTTCGCCCACAGCTCTTAGCAATAATAACCTATCCTTAACTGTGGTCCGCCCACAGCACTCCCCGATCCTTAACTGTGGTTCGCCCACAGCATGTGTAAATAGGTTACTAATATTTGTGTGCTTTATATAACTATATATCAGGTGTTGCAGTATAGTAGTGACTATTATAATACGTGTGTGACTTGAATAACGGTATTTTAGGTGATTGTAGTTTCAGCGATAACTAGTGTGAGCGTGTTTTTATTTAACTGTATTGTAGGTGTTTGTGTGAAATAATCATATTTTGCAGCTTAGCTTCTTCCCGTTCCCCAAGATCGACGTATCCGTCCTAACTGTGGTTCGCCCACAGCGATCCGTCCTAACTGTGGTTCGCCCACAGCAATCCGTCCCGAACTGTGGTTCGCCCACAGCACTCCGTCCCGAACTGTGGTTCGCCCGCAGCGCACCTTTCTTTCCATATAGAGAACAAATATGGCAATGATGATAACGTGGGCTCGATTGTTGGAGATTTTATATCTCATACCCTGTGTCTGAGCCATCCGTTCTCTTTTCAGAATATTAGTCCGCCCTTTACTGTCGATTCGTTAGACATTTCGACCCCTGGAACCGCAACCCAGCGCGACTAGCTATCCGGCAACCGGGTCAAAACCGGACTCGCGTATTTTCCGAACGCCTCACCCGGAAATACGTCGTAATGTATATATATATATAGATTTATATATATATATATACGTCCGTGAACGCGATAACTTGAGTAATTTTTCCGATTTTGATGAAATTTGGTTTAAAGGTGTAAAGCGGGATAAACTTGAACGAGTTCGCGAACCAGCACGATCGGACCATGGGAACGGGGCTTTACGGGGGGTTTTATGGGGTAAAAATTGGCTTTTCTCATTTTTGACCCTCAAAACACAAAGTTTCCCAATTTCTCTTCAGACCTTTTTAAAGAGCTTAAAAAAACAAATAATTTAGTATACAAGTGTATTTTTGTTCGATTATTAGTAACAGAGAAAATTAAAAAAATTGAAAATTTAAAATTCCCATGTTATTCTTATGGAGAATATTGTCAAATGTTGTAGTTTGCTTGTTTATAGATATATTTTAATCAAACTCGGCAAATTTATTTATTTTGTACTAAGCTATCAATATTTTACCAAGAAACACACTTTATTAGTTTTCTTATAGCAGCAAACCTAGGTACTCGTTAAACCTAATGTTATTAAAATATATTTAATTGAAAATCAATTCAGACAAATGGAAATTCGCTTAGTCGGCAGGTTTGCTGCGGCGGGGGTATTTGTATATTGCTTTTACAAGCGAAATAAATTATACCAAACCATTGCTGCATTTAAATACTGCATTAAATACTGTATTTAACCACACAAATATCTTACCAACCTTTTAGTCGTAAAACACGAGCTGGCAAACACTTGCTGATAAAATATTTAATTTGATTAGATCATAGACCCCTACACAATTGCACCCAAACCACTTTCAACCCGTAAACCACAAATCAAATTACTGTTGGGCCACTCCTAAATCACTTGTGTTCATACACCAACCCCACTCAAATCGATCCTGATCAATGTAAAATCACAACATCACAACATTTCACACGAATCGCTTTTGACACGTTCAGTTAATTTACCCATAGTGCTTGGTATATAACGCCTGAGATTCATATCAATTTTAAACTAAATTTCTATTTATTCAAAGTAAAAACTGTTCTATAACACTGCTAAGTTAAAGCCAAGTATCAATAAAGCATAAGTTTACAGACAAAAGATACGAGCGATTTATTATCAAGTAAACACAGAGAAACAACAGCTATTACTAAGCAAAGTCCTACGATTGCTTATTTCTCAACTTATAGCTTCATTATATGAGTTATGAGTTAGTTGAGCTATATTTGAGTTGCTCATCTCTCAAGGGTATATATAACTATTTTAGCTCAGTTCTGTATTGGTATTTGTTATTTATACTTAGCCTACTTATTGGTAGTTAAAGACACTCCTATTTCAATAACTAATAAAATAATGTATCTAGTTAATATTATTGCAGGGTTTGATCTAAACCGCTTAAGGAGTAAGACCGTCTCCCAATAGACGTATTCTACATATAATTTGCATATACAGTAAGATGTTTTTCATAGAAACCTACTAGTATTTTTTTTTGTAAATTTTAATTTATTTATATTGGGTTTATGAACATCATTATAAAATTATGTGATATGATTTTATTTTAATTAAATGAGCACATTATGAAAATATATACAACGATCCATGCACCACGTTTCTTATAGTAAACAAAATTATATACAGAATGTATTAATATAAGAGGAATTAATTCCATAAATTGTTCACATTAAGAAAACGTGTATGGATACACAAACTATTTAAAAATAATCAAAATTTTGTCACGGTGATATTTTTGTTTCCATGTAATTATAAGACACACATAACGTATAGAAAATAGATACCTATAGATAAATAGCGTATAGATACCTTTCCGACTCCAAGAGTTCCATTCAATCATTCACACAAGTCAGACAATATACCTCCTCAGTGACTGGAACCCAATTAGTTCAGGCTTTTAGAGCGGTACATAATGCCACTCTGGTGTGATAAAGGATGAATTAGAACTAATTTCCAGGAGAGTGAACGAGGTGAATCTCCATTGGAATACGCATTAGTTTAAATCAGTTTGTTTTAATTAAAAGTATTTCTTTTGACAAAATATACAAAATTAATCATTAAATTATTATAAATTGAAATAAAATATCTC